CGTAACGCGCATTGAAGATCAGTGGCTGAAACCGAGAAAGTTTTTTCTGCCTTTCTATAGTCAATCAAAATAACTTTCTTCTAAAACTGCCCGATGCCTGTTGTAAGGTGTCCTAAGCAGGTCCAAAAGTTTCCGGCCTCGTATATATAAGAATAAAAAAAAAGAAAAAAAGGTACTAAAGCTCCTCCTTACGCGAAGTAACGTAATTTGAACTTAAGGGTTAACGATTACCTACATTTATTTAAAATTCTTAATCATTTGTTTGTGGAATAATTCGGTGTCTCCAGAGGGAAGTGTACTTTTATCAAAAGCGATTAAAGATTCTTAAGTGAAACAAAGAATATTATACAGAGTTTGACTTGTTTTGTTATCATAAAGTGCTATTAAACCCCTAACAGACGCGGAGCGAACTATCGCTTCGTCTGAAAAGAACTACAAAGCCTTAAATGGGCTTATACACTTTAAACCCCTCATGATCTTCGAATATATGACTTTTGCAAGAATTGGGATATTTTAATTCTTTTAAAAGCAATTACTTCCAACCTTTTTACAGCTGACTGCATAATATAGCTGCTTTGGAAACGAGTAACCAGAAAGTTAGTGTTGCCACAAATATTTTTGTAATTTAATCCGTTTGTGACAAAGTTTTCGCCATGTTTCCAACTTGCGCGCACGATATTTTGAAAATGGCTAAAAGTACATACTTGAAATTTAATGAAATTCTTTATATGGACACTAGTTTCTAACTGAACCAAAAGTCTGATGAATATTTTAATGTTAAAAAATTTTATGCACGAAAACATTACAGATTTTTTTAATAAAATACATTTTGTAAACTCAACTCCAAATAAAATAAAATTTAAAATGAAATTCTTAGAATTTTCGGTTCACAGTAGTTTCCAAATGTTATAAAACTATATTAAATATGGAATTAAATTATGCAACAGAATGTTTTAAACTGTGCGCGCAAGGTGGAAACATGACGAAACCTTTTGTCACAAAGCGGACTAAATTATAAAAATATTTGTGGCAACACAAACTTTCCGATGACTACTTCAGAAAGCAGCTATATTATGTACTCAGCTGTAAAACGTTCGAAGTAATTGCTTTTAAAATAATTCTTGTAACAATTCTTCTAATGTTCCAATTCTTGTAGCAGTCACATATTCGAAGATCTTATGGGTTTTAAAGTGTATGAGTCCAATTAAGAAGGTTTCAGAACAAACTTCTTTATTAAATCGGAATTGGAACATAAATGCACAACTCGTGCTTACAAATCAGCTGACCACTTGTGGCGATGTAACCTAAAATAAGAAGTAAATTCAAATCTAAAAATTCAAATTTAGTAGCCAAAGTCTACACAATTGATGCAATGCAAAATTTAAATATCGGCAACTATAATGCAAAACCGAAGTGTGTAATCTTAACTGAGCAAGCAGAAACTTAGTAGCGTGGCCTCGAGAAGCAGAAACACGCTCTTACTGACAATTCGAAAATCTCATCTTAAATATTCTGATACCAATTTGCATTCTGTTAGGGAAACGGAAGAGAGAAGGGACAGTAAAGATCTAAACCATAAAATGACTTTTTATTATTTAAAATAATAATATTAATCTTATAACTACTATAATCAAATCTATTTCACATAGGCTGTTCACACATTTTTTAGACGATGTATATTGTATTCACAAAACTAAATTACATAAAATTCTTGTGTTTTAAATGTTCTATTTGACATCCCTTATTCTGAACTATCTTTCGACACCACAATTTCTAGGATAATAATGCCTTTTGAAGTGGCAGAAGAGGTATTCTATCCCATTCCTCCCGAACAGCTTTCCAGAGTCCTGTTAGGGGTTTGGGACAACTTTTGGATAATGCAGTTTTTAAAAATCCGAAAGCACAAAAATCCATAGGTGACACATCGGGAGATTTAGTAGGGATATCAATGAAGGGTATGGCCTTGATACCAGTTTTTTTGTTCCATTTCTTTTAGGAAATTTACAGTGGGTTTTGATGTGCGACTGCTAGCTTTGTCCTGATGGAGTCTCAGAGATGGATGGCACTGTGTGTAAAGTGATGGTATTTCATTCAGAAAAATTGGCGATAAAATATGTTCCTGATAGTGTTTGGAGTTAATCTTGACATTTTTTGCACTCTCTTTATTTTTAATTTGCCATTATAAGAAAAACCAGCAACAATCATGAATCCCTTAGAAAAACTTTCTTTCGATTCTTTGAACCATGTACTTAAATTTTTTTCTCCCCTTTTATGATAATAAATGGCTCTTTTTTTGTTACAATCATTTAAATACACCCATGTTTCATCTATTGTGACAATGGTTTTCCATTTTTCTTTGGATAAGTGTTTCTCATATAGAATTCTGCAGCGTGTCCTGCGTTGAGCGATATGCTTTGGAAGAAGACGATGCACATTGCCTTTTTTCACTTTCTTAAGATTTAAATCAACGTTTATCATTTTTTTTACAGTGGACCCCGAGCATTTTAATGATTTTGCAACTGTCCTTTGACTAGGGGGATTTTCTTTTAACATTAAACAACGTACCTTTGCAATAGTCGAAGATGTCCGAATTTTTTCCTCGGATACTTGTTTTGAATTTTTGTCCCACTTGAGGCTCCAATTTGACGTTTTTTTCCTTTCTTGTTGATGATATTACCTATCGACGCTTTAGATATCACAAAACCATGACTCTCACATCGTTTTTGGATAACGGAGTATGCATATTTCTCTTCGGAAAGAGCGTCAATGTAGCCTTCGAACCACTGCTTTGTTAAATTCGCCGTTTTGAATAAAAACAAAACTTTCAAGCCACAGACGATAATTTTGACTTTTAAAAACATAGTACAATTGCAATTACTTCTTTTGCAGCAAACGATTTTTTGTTACCGCTTAACAAAATCGTCTAAAAAAATGTGCGAACAGCCTCTGTACGATTCCATAAAATATAGCAATACCAATTTATTAATCAGTATTTACTGTGGTCTTTTCCAAGCTATCCTCTCCGATTACAGTGCACTTAAGGAATTTTTAAATTTTGAACAGAAACTGTATTGCTTTCAAGTCATTTTCGTGAAACTTCTTCAACGTTCAGGGTTAATTTTTCTTTATTGCATGCGCAGACTCAAATGGTAAACCCGAAATGGCAATTTTAGCCCAGAAAAGATAGAATACACATGGTTTAATGCCAGGTGAATACGGAGCTTATTGTATTTGTTGAATTTGGGGCCAAAATTCAGAAACTTGATAAATCAAGAGCTTAATGCAACAGAATTTATTACGATAAGAGCACTATGAGTGACTGTATCACAGTAGAGCAAAATCTAACCAGGGGTTCTCAACCAGAGGTATATTATATCCCGGAAAGATTTTGCATTTTCAGAGGTCAAATGCAGTCAGCATTTTATTTAGCTGTTGAGTACTTAATTTTAGTTTATGAATATAGAAAAAACTACTTTTATTCAAGTTTTGGTATGTATCAATATTTTCTGTACTTTATAAGATATTTTCTCCCTCCTTTCTGCACGCCTTCGTGGTATGACAGTAGCACACTCGACCCGTATTCGAGAGGTTCAGGTGCGAATCCCGGTGAGGGCACTGCATATTTTCACGTCTCCGGCATCAAAATAGCTTAATGACTCTACAGTGGCGCCCGAACTAAAAGGTGGTGGATGATGATTCTTTACCACCAGGATATAGCGACTGGGTCCTGTAATCCACAGTCATCCTTTAAAAGGGAGTATATATAAGGTATTTTCTACCTCCTTTCCGCATGCCTTCGTGGTGTAATGGTAGCACACTCGGCACATATTCTAGAGATCCAGGTTCGAGCCTCGACGAGGGCATTGTTCATCTTTCATGTCTCCTGCTTCAAAATAACATAATAATGCCCACCAGCGGCCGAGCGGTAAAGTCGCTGAACACTGGTAGTTCGGTCCGAGGTTCGAATCCCGCGAACGCGCTGGCTGCATGGGCGTTTTCGTGGTTTCCCCATGTGTAACGTGTATACGAGCCAGTTTCCCTTAGAAAGTCCTCCACGAAGGCATCCCTCCCTTTAGGCAGATAGCCCTAGTGTGCTTTGCCATAATTAAATACACCAACAAAATAACATAATGACTCTCAAACTCTTTGCTGCTTAATTTATGAAGCATGTTTAAAAGTATTCGAAATCTAAATAAATAAATATATATATATATATATATGTATTTTTAGAGTTTTGAAAATGGTTCTTTGAGAGAGATGCATGGGGCAAAAATTTGTTGAGGACCACTGTCTTATCCTCATATAACCATAACAGAAAGTTGAGTTTTCCTTATATTTACGATCACTGCTGTAAAACGACATTTACAGGGGCGAAATGCATAGCTTGAGGCTTTCGTATTAAGTTGGTGAATTTAAGGAAACAGTTATTAAATTATTATTCTGTGGGGTTATTGAGAATTGGCAAAGTTTACTTTGGTATCAGGCTCACATGTTAATACACATGTTCTGAAATAAATGAAAATAAATAATTCTGATTTCGTCATCAGATTTTCAAGGATTTCCGCTCGGATTTTAACATTTTATACAAAATTATCAATTTTAATTATAGTATTTTGCTTTAGAATTTTAAATAGCAGTACTTGCGTAATTTATTTCATTTTACTGTGGGAGTAGTTTGTAATTAAAAGTTATATATTTATTCAATTCGAACAATTTATTTTTCTCTGCGAGGAGATCATTGTAAGTCGTATAATGTTATATAGTTATCAAACTGAAAAGAACTTCATGGAAGTTTAAGAAAATTTGTTATTTTAAGAGCTAGTAAAGCATTTCATGATGAAGAATTATTCAGAAGCTTTGCGTAGTCGTAAATATATAATACAGATACTTCTCCATTCAGATTGTTTCAGGCTGGTCTGAGATTTTCAAATTGAGGGCGGACATCTGAAAGTAAGACTCAAATCATTGTAGATGAAAGTGTTGATAACAGTATTACTCACCTCTCGTACACTGTATGATGACTTTCTTGGGTTGTTCTGCAGCCTGGCTCTGTAGAGGATCGGCAGGATGCCTCCCCGAATTGACAAGCTCGCTGAGGAAGCTGATATATCCGATGGCCAGCCTGAGGGTGTCCACCTTTGAGAGTCTCTTTTCGTAGGGCAGGGTTGGGATGTGGGCCCGCAGGCCTTCGAAGGCATCGTTGATGGACTGCATGCGACGACGCTCCCTCAGATTGGCTGCCTGCCGCTGCTGGACTTGCTGCTGGACGCACTTGCGACGACGGCGTCGATGCCGCACGTTCTCCTGGTCCGAGTGCTGGTAAGGTGGGGAATCGTAGTCCATGTCCAGGTGGAGGAACTGGCGGTTCACCAGGTCCACGTTCTCCATGAGGATCCCGATGGTGGATGCTTGGGTGCGTGGGGCGGACGGCCACCCACGAATCTTTGAATCCACCTGCAGACCAAAGGCAAAAAAACTGTTATTCATGAACAACGATTACGTATATTCTGTTAACATATATGAATGTGAATTCAAATTTTCATTTGCTGTTAATGCAATGAGGTAACGAATGAACACCTTTTGACAAATGAAAAGTTTATTTATTTTTGGACACATCGATGACTTAGGTATTGAGAAGGAAATTCTCATCAGCTTGTTGGATAAAACTATTTTGTATCTTTTAAAACGAGTTTGATAGCTTGTAACTAGTCTTTATTATAAGCTTGATTTTTTACTTTGCTATTTTGCAGCTAGTTTTGTAGTTGTAATAAATGAAACTAGTTTGGTAATTTAGTACTTTGTGTAATTTACTACATTGTTTCTGTTAAGGAGAGCTATAGTTAAATCTACAGTTCTACAATTAAAACAAAAGTAAATTTCAAATGAAATGTAAAATGCATTTTAATGGGCTGCGAAACAATACCTTGGCGAGTTATGTAAAGAATTTGCAGCAAGGAGGTGAAATCAAAATTATGCACTCGCTGGGATTCAAAGCACTCATCTTCCTAGACGTTATCTTATGTGAAAGTACGTACAGTAGTCATATATATCCCTTTTAGGAAAGTATTTTTATACGTAAATCTTATGCGGAGAAAACTGACTAAAAAGAAAAAATTTAGAATTTAATTTACTTACCTTTTTGATTGAAAACAATAAATAAAGTTCTTTAATAATTTTTTATAAAGACACTCGGAAAAAAAATTAGTTTATCTCAATCGTAATTAAGCCTTGCAGATTCTTATTCCATTTAATGTTAAGTAACCAAGCTCGATTTCTAAGGTATTTAATGCTAATTAATCCATTTTTATGATTGAGAATTTGTATCTTTGCTATAACTTCACCTTTACATTAGTTCTCACTAGGATGCGAATCAGTTAAGACTATTTAAGGCGAGGGTTTTGACGGTTTTAGATAGAGAGCTGTTAGCAAGACGCTCGCAGATTTACTTTCTCGGCCCCAAACTCTACCAGTAAGTGTTCTAGCAACCCAAGTTAAATCAGGCCATTGGAAAATTTTGAGTCAACGCTTAGTTAGGCAAAAAATTGCATTGACCCATTTTAGGTTGCATTTTATATTGCTGTTATTTAACACCTGCATGTGGTGGAATCTCATTCCACTCAACAAATTTTAATAAGATTTAACTGGATCTTTCGTAGGACGTTTGCCGTATTTTCTCTTAGGGTCTGAAGAACTTTAAAATTAGTATTACACAAGTAGGGCCATAGTGACCACGCCAATTAACAATGAAATTACACATGTACAACTAAAATTTTGAAACTCAAGATCCTAAAGCGAAATTGGAATAAAATAAGGGTGCAACTTTGGTAGACGGTTGGCTTTTTTTTTGGGGGGGGGGGGGCAAGCGATACGACTTAAACCCATAGCTGGACAAGTTATTTATGGTAAACGATGCTTTGTCGTCATTTTATTTTAAAATAATGCGTTTTATTATGCATAAATTCCGTGTTTTAAATATTATTTATGACTTCTAAATATTAAAAATCAACTTAATTTTGCATTTTTATTTGAAATAAAAATTTTATTGTTTATGATATTTTATGAAATTTTATGTTGTGGATGATTTAATCAATGACGTCACCTTACTTAAAAAGTAATTGTTTTTAATATCTCTAAATTTAATCTAACGTTTTAAACATTATTTATGGCTGTTAAATATTAAAATACAATTTAATTTTGTATTCTCTTGAAAAATGATTTTATTATGCATGATTATTTAATTAATTTTAATTTTATGCGTGCTGTAATCAGCTCCCTCCTTGGTTAATGAATATTTGTGCCTTACCGCGCCATTTTAAAATTTTATTATTCATCTCCTCGAATTCCTTAGATTTCATAGCGAACGGGTATGTCCTTTTCAAAGATGAATGTTGTTATTGGTACTTATCAAGAATTATTGGTATCGGAATCTTTTTGATTGTTGTCAAATAAACGTTGGTATGATGTTGTTAATTAGATATCCAATTTAAGTAATATTTTAATACAATTAAACGTTGGAGCAATGTTTTTATTCTATTTCTTTGTTATATGAAAGTAATAATTTAAACTTACTTTAGTATTTTATGCTCGTAGTAAATGTATTTATTTACATTTGCCTGCCATCTTAAAAAACGACGTTTTCAACAAAGAATAATCCCTTATTTTTAACGATATTTATTTTTTTTAACGTTTCGAATACTTTACTATGCTTAAAATACGTAAAAACAGCGCTTTTCAAGATGGCTGCGTCAACAATTGCGCCCATGTAAATCGCCAAAAATCTGTGCAAACGTCTACCAAAGTAGTACCTATGTAAGATTATGCAAATTCATCAATTTCTGCAAAATTAAGTAATTTGTTTCCCTTAACTAAAACTATTGGGCCTCACGTTTTTTCACTCATAAAATATACACGCTATGACATGCACTAATATGAAAATTAAAGCAATCGGAATGCGTTCTTTCCTTCTAGATCTTTATTTTGCTAATAATAATTGTTTACCTAAAAATACCGATTTTCACTGAAGATTATGGAAGCTCAATTTAAAATAAAACTTTATCATTTTTAAGCAAATTTGCGTGCACAAAGTAAAATAAAATTTTAGGGTTTCGTCAAGAGCTGACTTGTTCTATATTTAAATCCTTATCACCTAAAAATATGATTAGGTCTGATTTATTCATAATTTTAACAGATAACAGGTATTAAATTAGACACACCAGAAACAGTTTTTGTACACTGAAAAATAAAAATAAAGTACGAAAGACAAATTTTAAAACATGAACTAATTTTATGTGTTAAAATAAAAATGTTATTAAAATTCTAAGCTAGTTTATTTAAACTGAAAGGAAGTATTTAATCACGTGAGTTTCCCTCGCTCGGAAAAGAAATAAAAATAATTATAATTGCTGCGAACTAATTTACAATATCATTTAAATTCAAAGAGCATATGTAAATTAATTGCACCTATCTAAAACCATGAAAAAATATATTATTCCAAATAATTAAATTTATTATTCCTAAAATTGCATAAGGGAATAATTGTTGAGCGGGCAGGAGACAGACTTATCAAGGGGAAGTTGCCCCCCCCATACCTAACTTTTAATTACTAAATTAGTGTTTCGTTATCCATATAGGCAAGGGTAAAAATAAAATTCAAAACCAAAAGTAAAATCAAATGTTGTGAATTACAAAAAAAATAATTTAAACAGTAGAATTTTGAAAAAATAGAAAGTAAATGACTAGAGTTAAAATTAATTAAAGTAATAAAAACTCAATTAAGAGTAGAAAACCAAAGTAATTTAGAAATTTTTGCCTACAGGAAACTTCCTATACACGAATTATGCGTGTAATCCTAAAATATATACAACAATAAAAATAAAAATAATAAATAATAAATAAAATTTAAAAAATACGAATAGAAAATTTATACGAATAGGGAATTTTATATTTACTTTACGTATAGAGAATATTTGTTAAATTCAAATTTAATTTCTTGCAGCAATGGCACAAGAGAATTATTTAAATTTAACTTTACTATTTTCTTGTGAAACAATATATATATAACAATATATATAACAAGTTATATGGAGTGATGAAACTAAGATATCGTTATTCGGTAGTGATGGGCGAAAATATGTAGAGAAGAGCTACATCCTGACTGCATTCAAGCTAACTGTGAAGAACCCAGTTAGTGTTGTGATTTGGTCATGCATGTCAGCAGATGGTATTGGTCGCCTTCATGTCATCGATGGGACACTGAATTCCAGAAAATACATTAACACTATTCTAGAACCAAAACTTCTACCTTCCATCAGAGATCTCTTTCCCAACAATGCTTCGTTTATTTTTCAGCAGGATTCTGCTCCTTGCCACACGGCCAAAATATCGAAAGAGTAGTTTCGTACAAAGAGCATTAAATTGTTGTCACGGCCAGGAAACAAACCTGACCTCAATCCTATCGAAAATTTGTGGCACCGTTTGAAAACTCTTGTCCGAATGAGGCGCCCATCAAATAAAAGGGAACTAATTGAAACTATAATTGTTTCCTCGTATTATGTAATAACGAAAGAAGAGCTTAAAACTCTTTTCAGCTCAATGAAACGTCGATATGAAGCTGTAATCAAAAATAAGGGTACCTTACTAAGTACTGATAACTCACTGCAATCATCACTATCTAATGTATATCGATAACTATTATCGTTTAACTTTTTTTGTATTGCAAATAATTGAATTTTGTGTGTTGTATTGAATTCAGTAATAAATTCTCTTTAAAATGATATATACAAGTTTGCATTTTGTGAAACGTAACGTTTTCTTATAAGCATATAAAGTTCAAAAACATAAAAATTTCCAAAAGTGTCCATAATTTTGTCCACCACTGTATATGCATACATAATACACTAAACGCAACGTTAACTGGGTTCGGATAAACTAAACCCAGTTAAACATCAAACCAATTAACAATCAAAAACCATTAGTAATAAACAAAATTGTTTACGGCAAATATAAACGGAAACGAAACTGCGTAAGATAGCAGCAGCGATAGCAGACGATGTTACAGTACCTAGTTATTAACTTTTACCCACAACAACGTTGAAGTTGATTGTACTTAATCCAGAATGTATGAACATCATAAGTTAATGTTAAAATAATAAGACTATCTGTCAAAAAGGAGGAAACATTGTCAAAAAACAAAAAGGTCCAATTGAATTTAATTACATTGCAAGAAGCTGTCTTGCAAATATTTTTCTTCAATGTCGTTTTGAATTTAATTTCCGAAGTTTCTTCTTTTCTGATGACGTTATTTTGCATTGTTTACAGTATGTTCTTTTCTGTTTCGAATATTCATTTAACTTACGCAATGAAATGGAACTTTTTCTCCAAATGAAACTGCTTGAAATTACAGATAAATTGTTAGTGATGATGAGGTTTCAAATAAAAAAACTGAACCACACAAG